ATACTTCTCTTCTGCATATTTTTAGTGAGAAAATTAACTCCATAAAGAATGTAGAAAGTTAACTCTTTGGGATTTCTCATTCAGAAGTAATAAGGATCTTTTCATTTTCTTATTAAAGACAGGCATCTCTGTTTCCAGGAATTACAATTAGCTAAGTATCTTTTCATGAAGGGCTCTGATGGTAAGATCATAAAATAGATGATAGATTTTTTTTTTAATTTTTACACCAAATCTTGCTTCCTTTATTTAAACTCCTGGAATTCCATGGCCTATTTGAAGTCTGTGGCTTGTTCTGCTTTCAATGAACAATGACCAACTAACACCCATCCACCAAGGGCAGTCTGTCCATCACCCAGTTCTGTCAACACTTTCTTCAAAACATACTATGAATTCAGTCCTCCTGTTCCATTCTTAAATCCAGATTCTCATCACTTGTCTCTCTGTACCATTATACAAGGCCTCTTCCATTCTCTCATCTCTCCACATCCTGAACTATTCCACCAATTTTTTACCMTTATCATCATCTTAGTCTTTTGCTTAAGGACTTTTGAAATGCATTTGTTTCTGGTCAAGTAGAAACTCTTTTGCTGAACTTTCATTAACTTTAGTCTGTTGCTCAGTAATTCCAGTCTATTGCTATCTAAATAATTTTCCCCATAAGCCTACAGCACATTRCCTGGCTCAAGACAGGACTAGGTAGGAAGCATGATGTTATTCTACAGTTCAGACTTCTACTCCAATGACTATTCACTATCGTTATTTTCTGAATATACCATGCTCTTCTTGACTTTTAGATTTGGTTCATGTTTTCTATTTGGAGAAGATATATACCCCCTTTTTTTATACCTGGAATCCAGAAATGACTCCTTTCCTGCATTGCCTTTCTATAACTTACTTGCCTTTAAGTCAGGTTTGGTTATTACATTTTCCAAGAAGCCGTTGCCAACATGGACTTTTTTTTCCAAATATCTTTGCCTTATAAAGCTCATGAGAGGGATCATGCTGTACCCTTATTTGTGCATCCCATCACCTTTGGCAGAGTGTTGGAAACACAGAAACTAAATAAAGGTCAGTTAATGATCAGAGAAGGAGCAGGACACTCACAATCCACGAACAAGATAACTAGTCCCTAAATAACTACAGCCCATTTGCACCATAAAATCTACCTTGAGCCATGCATGTAATCCCAGTGGCTCAGGAGGTGAGGCAGGAGGATCGAAAGTTCAAAGCCAGCCTCAGCAGCTTAGCAAGGCCCTAAGCAACTTGGCAAGACCCTGACTCAAAAATAAAACACAAAAAGGGCTGGGATTGTGGTTAAGCACCCCTGGGCTTGGGGTGGGGGAGCTACCCTAATGTCACGTATGAGATGTAGGTGGGATCTACAATTACTTATTTACATTTGCCTTAACACTACAAAATCAATTATCACAAATATGAGGAAGAGTTGAATGCTTAATTTGCATCAAGTAATTTRCTAAATATTTAACTATATGGTATCATTATTTCATTCTTACAATAATCCTGTTACTATTATAAACATATTATGGAAAACTGAATCCCAGCAAGTTTGAATCCAAGATCACACAAATAACGATGGAGATGGTCTAGAAATTATGAATCTCCAACTCCAAAGCCCTATGTCTTTAACTTCTATAATAAATCATCTCAGGAATACATGYAAAAMAACAACAACAAAAAGACCTAAAATGACTGAAAKGTCAGGTTCATAAGATAAAAACATCTCAATATTTATAAGCAAAGATGTCTCCTTTTTCTTACTCTGTTTATTCATCAACAAWTAAATTCAACAATAAGGAATTACCTCCAAAATTCACCTTAGCTTCCCATTTACTACTAAGCTCTTGGATGTTTTTCCCCTAAATGTGTGGTCTGAAAGCCACAAGCACTGGAATTCAAAAGGCAYGCACAGCTTGCATGACAGCAAGTGTCTGTGTGACACCCTACATGCTCCTTATTCAAGAATTTGAAGGGAGTGTCCCCAAATATCTGCAAAGCATCTTTTTGTACACTCACAACTTATGTGCATGGAAAAGTTCAGAGTTCTGGCCCTGACTAGTCTTTGAAATCTTGCATTTATGGCATGCATAAACACAGGAGGAAACATTTCTTTTTCTTTGTAAAGAAGTAATGAATCTCCTGAATCGGAATATACAAGACCTTTGCACATGCATTTTTAAACGTTTTTTTTTTTTGTTCTAATTAGTCATACATGAYAGTAGAATGCACTTTGACACAGCATACATAAATGGAGTATAACTTCTTATTCTTCTGGTTGCACATGATGTAGAATCGCACAGGTTGTGTAATCATATATGTATATAGAGTAATAATATCCAATTCATTCTACTGTTCTTCTTACCCTCATACCCCTCCTCTCTGCCTAATCCAGAGTACTTCTATTCTTCCAWAGTCCCCACACCCTTATTGTGAATTAGTATCTGCATATCAGAGAAAACATTCAGCTCTCAGATAAACACTTCAGTCGGGCCAGAGTTGAGAAATACTGAGCCCCAGCTCCTGCCTTAGATTTTCTCTGTAGGTGCCCTTCCTAGAGATAAGGAGACATATTAATCATAAGATAAAAAGTTAATTTTGCCATGTTCATCATAAGCCTTCCTACACATGTTTTTATGAGGCTCAAGGATAGGCATTACTTACAATAAATTATAACCCCTTTTTGAAACTACCTATTAAAAACATGAATTTTAAAAGTGAGCATTCTTAGATAAAGAAATATGGAATATATACATAAGGAAGTTTTATTCAGTCATAAAGAAAAATGAAATTGTATCATTTGCAGGAAAATGGATGGAACTCGTAGACATGACATTAAGCGAAATAAGCCAAACTCAGAAGTTCAGGGGTCATTTTCTCTCTTATGTGAAAGCTAGAGAAGTAAAAGGAAAAGAAAGGTGAAGGGGGCAGATCTCAAGAAAATCAAAGGGAGATCAGTAAACCAGAGGAAAGGGACAGCAAGGAGGGAGAAGGGAAGGAAAGGGGGAAAATAATAGAGATTGATGCTGGCCAGATTTTATTGTTGTATTATGTGCATACACAAATATGCAAGAACAAATTACACCATTATATACAACTATATTGCACAAATTAAAAATAGAGTAATGGCAAAAAATGGACATTCCTGAGATGTTTAAAAAGAAAACACAGAGATTGGAACAAAGCAATTTGAACTCATTGATGAAAATTATGAGAGCTCCCCATMAGGGTCCAGAAGAGTTCAAAGACTATGGCAAATAAATTACATTTTGTACTTCAAGAAGATTTCATTCATGCAGCCCAAATATCAAGATTCACTTTATATGGCTCTCTTCTGATTAGTGCATTTATTTTCTGGTCCAAAATGATGGTGTAATAACATCAATTGGGATTTAAGCAAGGTTTATATTCTGAAATTTTCTTTGAAAGACTATTCATTATGACAGAGCTTCTTCTTTTCATACAGGACATGAGCAGAAGAAAGAAACCATGCAGTTCCTTCCTTTGTGGGTTATGAATTTGAGAGCTACTCACTTATACACTGACTTTCCCTGAAATCTTGGATTTATGAAATGTGTTTAAAACTGAAAGGGTTTTTCTTCTTTCAATTAGAGAAGGAACCGGGAATAATGAAGAATTTGGACATGTGAGTCTAAGGACCTGAGTTTAGAATTCTATTACTTTTGAACAGAGTGGTCTCAGTCTCCGTTTCTATAAATAATGTTCATACCTTCATCACACGGTTCTTTTAGGAATTGGAAATAATAAAAGTGAATCCAAATACAAAAGAGAAGTGCAACTAATGGCAGCTGTCACTTCTGTGTTAGGTTGRATTAATTCACCTATTGGGCGGGTTTCTGTCCACCACTGTTTAACAGAGTTACCCCAGAGTGGGGACGTCGTACAAGAGCAAGTCATGGGAAGAATTCTGGAAAAATAGATCACAAAGAGTCAAGGCATTCCCCTCCCCATTCTGCAATATGTCCTCCATTGCAGACCACATGGTCCGGAAACTCCAGGGTAGATGTGTCACTTCCATAATCACCTGGTATAGTAACCCCAAGAATGCATTGACTGTGTCACATCAGAATTCACAGAGCCCAGCTCCTTACTTCACATTATTTTGGAAAGATCCTGTCCCTTTTCAATCATTAATTTTTAAAGCATCGCACTCACATAGTATTGCAGGGAGAGAGAGAGAGAATCAGTCCTCAAAAGACCCCTAGTTTAAACGGTAATGCTGTTTGAACATGTGTTTTAGCAGGTGGTGTTAAGATAAGAACAATGGCCAATGCCAGTGGAGGAGAGCCAAGCCTTCCTTTCCTCGCMGCTGTGACCTCCCACCACATGAGGTCCCTTGTTCAAAGGTGGTGCAACTCAATATGTGTGTTAAGAGGTCATTGAGGGGAGCCATGACGAAGGGCTCTAAGTATGGCAACCTCACCTCAGACCTTACTATTTCCAGAGGCCCCGCCTCACCTGCCCCATTCATCACTCCTGCTGAGGTCTGTTTGTTTAGCCGGAAGCGTGGGAGCACCAGCAAGAAACCAGTGAGAAACCACTTCAAACTTCGGCTTCAACAAATGTGGCTGGAACGGGGACAGTGATATTTTTGCATGACCTAACCAACTGCCAGCTCTTAATCAACATTTCCTCGTGCAGTTTTAACAATGACACACTCTGCTATCCTTAGGAAAGGTTTTTATCTCCATGAATCTTACTCTAAAAGAAAGCTAAAGAGGGGAAAGAAACAAAAAAAAAAAAAGAAAGAAAGAAAGAAATGAACTAAGACAACCACATCAACGTGGGGAAAGACGTTGCCCCAGCCATTTCTGGAAGCCACAGCCTAACTGCATGATGGAATACCATATACCTTCTCATCAGTAAGTCATGCACACATGCAAATTTAAGCATCCTTGTGGAATCAGAGGAGGTGGTGGAAAGGAGGGAATGAGGAAGGCACACACACCCCCAGCGGAGCGTACCTGGGGCGTCATTGAGGCTGAAGGCGATGCGTACTGGCTTATCCGCAGGTACCCTGGCTGTGCTGATCATGTGGGCACCTGAGGCCCGGCCTTCTCCTGGGTCTTCCAGCTGTGAGGACAAAAGAGAGCCCTTGTCACTTTACCCAATATCACGCCTCTGAACGCCCTTGGAAATTAGAGGGGAGAGTTGGTAAACATCCTTTTCCTATTTCAAAAGTATCCACTTGCTCCATTAATTTTTTTTTCTGGCTTATACAGAAATTACTTTAGCAATATACATCTAAAAAAAATGAAATGTGGCAAAAATCTCTACCTACATCACTTTTTAAGTCTTCCTTCACACTGAAAAGTTCTATTATAGCTGGGCATGGTGACACAAGCCTGTAATCCCAGCTCAGGAGGCTGAGACAGGAGGATGATGAGTTCAAAGCCAGCCTCAGCAAAAAGGGAGGCACTCAGCAACTCAGTGAGACCCTGTTTCTAAATAAATAAATATTTCTGTGCTATAAGAGAATTTAGCCTAAATACACTTTAAACAAAATATTTGATAATTTGGTGTTCAGAGAGACTAAGGAAAGATATTGTTATAAATACATGATATCTTTGTTATTTAGATATTTATATTTAACTTTTCTATTTTTGGTCCTGCTTCCCCTAAACCCTCTACTCTCCTTCTCATGTAGACAGCAAACTAAAAAACCTGAATGATATTTTAAGGAAAATGTCTCTAAAAATGGCAAAATATAAATATCTCGTTAGCCATCCTAGCAAGATTCTGGGAATTGCTGTAGCAGGACATTTTCTCAAAGCAAGGTTTTTGACTCTTTCCCATAACTTTTCTGTATCTAAAAATAGATTTCGGAACACTGAATTTTGTTTTTACAATTACATATAGGTCCAAAGTAAGTGCTTATATGCATGTGTAGTTAGACATCCATGTGTTTAGAATCATCTCATCCAGTATATGCAAAGAGAATGCACTTATATTAATCACCTAGTACAGCTTTGGAGAAAAAAAACAGCATCTATCTATCACCCAGTTAGCATCACATTGGGCCCATTCATTTAACACAGATAGCAATACACAAATAAGCACCCTACCCTCCATGTATTATACTTCTAAAGCTACAAAGAAACAGTGGCCTGACGCATTGAAGAAAAGGGCAACATAAAGCTACATTTTCTTGCTCAAGATTCCTTCTGTCTTAACTCTGATACATGTCTCTGTGGTTTCTTCTGCTTAGAGTCAAGTACTTTGCTAGCCACCTGTTCCTGGAGAAACAGCACAGACTATCTCAAGTTTAAAGAAACCATCAAAATCCCCAAAAGTTGTAGTTAAAAGAAAAAGTCTTGCTATTGCACATTGTATAATCCCCAGCCACCTTATCATACTATCAAAGGACAGAAAGCGGCACTCCTTTTTGGGTAAATCTCCCAACAATGTCCTGCAGCAAGAAATAAAGCACAAGAGATGGATATTTACCTCCAGGATTTTGTAAAGAGATCTCTAGTACAGTTTCCAGCTACAGGAAATGGAGTTGATAACACAGCTAATTACAACCCCCTCCCCAGCACAACAGAAAACATCTGTCTGCCTGAGATGGATTCTGAGTTCCACACAGCATCTACCACAAGACCCCCTAAACCAACTTGCCTTTCCATCCCACCGCCTCGGGGAACAGGACACTGTGTCCTGCTTTCGGCTGTAGACTGTGACCAAGCTTTGGTTAAGGTGCTGGTGCTCTGAGCAGTTTGTTCGATTTTCACACCTGTCGCCTTACCTCACTTAGTTGAGTGTCTGCACTTGTGTAATCCAGGACCAGCCACTGCCTTGGCCAGTCGCTGCCTTTGTGGAGTGAAGACTCAGTAAGCAACCCAGTTGCACCTGCTGCATAGCAGCCGCTGACACTCTGAGGAGCAGGGACAGCTGTCAGGGCTGCACGCTGCTACCTGCTCTGTCCCAGACCCCAGCGTCCCACGGGACCTCCCTGTTCCGCTTTCCTCCACAACCCCTCTCTCCTTTCCTTTGCCTCTCCAACAGCCAGGATGTTGTCATGTTTCTAGAAAAAGCAAGAGCAAAAGAAAACCCTCCTCCTGTCAGAGGCATTGATAAACAGCAAGTTGTGGAGAGTCCAAATGTTTTAATTCATTAGTCCTGGCAAACCTAAAATACAAACAGACTTGCTTCACAAGACAGGAATGTCTTCAGCGTGACCCAATCGGTGTCTGTGTCTATTCCAGCAAACTGGCAAAGATAGCATGACTCTAGTCAGCAAAAATGTCCACTGCTCCAATCAGCTCCGCCAGACCAGCCAATTTGGACAGGCCACAGGCCAGCTCTCAGATGATAGCAGCGATGATCCTGGTTAAGAACGTGAGGTTTGAGGTTGAGCCCATGTTGGGCTTGATGACTTGATCCATTGTACAAATGCCACCAACCGCAAAAGGGTCAATGGTAAAGAGGAATGGAGCATGAGGATTTTTCAACCTTTTTAACAACTGTAAACTTGGAAACCAAGAGTATTTAAAAATAGTTGGACCATAATGTTAAATAATTTAAAACAAACAATAATAAGAGAATGCAAAGACAAGCCAGAGGCTGAAAAAAAATTCWTTTTTATCAAAACACGCACATGTTTTTGATGTCCAAAATAGACAAACAAATCTTCAATTCATCAATAGGAAAATAAACAACCCAATCAAAAAAGTGGACAAAAGATCTGAACAGACAGCTCACCAAAAAAAGACATACAGATCACAAGCAAACTTATGAAAAGATGAACAACTTCATATACCATTGGGAAATCACAAATTAAAACATCACTGGCAACACTACTACAACAGACAAAATCCCAAACAGTGACACCATCAAAAGTTGGTGAGGATGTGAAAAAATAAGAACTTACATTCTCTGATAGCGAGAATGCAAATGGTACAGCCACTTTCAGAAAACAATTTGACAGTTTCTTACAAAACTAAACAAACTCTTACCACGATGCGATCCAGCAATGACATTCCTCAGTATTTACCCAAATGAACTGAAAACTTATGTCCACACAAAAACCCACACACAAATGTTTAGAGAAGGTTTATTCACAATCCTCAAATCTGGGAAACAACCAAGATGTCCTTCAACAGGACAGTATACATACACACTGGAGCATTCGGACAATGGAATATTACTCAGGGACAAAAAGAAATGAACTATAAAGTCTACAGATTGTATGACTCCAACTATATGACCTTCCAGAAAAGATGAAAACTATGGAAATAATAAAAAGATCAGTGGTTGTCAGAGGTTCAGGAAGAGAGAAGGGAGGGATAAACTGTGAAATACCAAAGATTTTTAAGGCAGTTAAACTACAATTGCATATGATCCACTGCGATGGTAGATACATGTCATTACATATTTGTCAAAACCCATGGAACCTACAGCACAAAGAACAAACCCTGGTATAAACTGCGGTACTTATGTAATAATAATGTATTAACATTGGGCCATAAGTTGTAACAAATGCATCCCATTAATGTGAAATGCTAGTTAGTAATAGGGAAATTAGGAGTGAGGAAGATGAGGAAATACATAAGAACTCTGTACTTTTCACTCATTTTTCTTTTTTTGGTAACCTAAAACTACTCAAAAAAAATTAAGTAACACATAAAAGGACTTAGCAAATGTGTTAGCTTTTCATTGCTGTGACCAAAATACCTGACACAAACATATGAGGAGGAAATTTGTATTTTGGCTCACAGTTTCTAAGGTTTTAGTCTTGGTCAACCAGTTCCATTGTTTTGGGGAGAACATTATGGCAGAGGAACATGGTGGAAGAAAGCGGCTCAGTTCATGGGATCCAAGAAGCCAAGAAAGATCTGGGGACAAGATCAGCCCTTCCAGTGCATACCCCAGTGCACATCTCTTCCAACTACGCCCTACCACCTAATGATATATTCAAAATTACTAATACACAGTATGGATTAATCCATGGATGAGTCTAGAGCTCTCGTGATCCCATTATCTCCCTAAAAACCCACTTCTGAACATTGCTGCATCGGAGACCAAACCTTCAACACATGAACCATCGAAGGACGTTCCAGATCCAAACCAAAATCTCTTTTCTTTGATCAAATGAATGGAAAATTTAAAATGGGAGTTCATAACCCACTTGAATCTAAAGTATGAAATATGATATGTCAAGAGCTATGTCATGTTTTGAACAACCAATAAAAAAAGAATAGAGAAAAAAATGATATAAATAGCTATAAAATTGTATGGATTCAGACAATTAGAACATTCACACAAAAACCTATTCTTCCAGGAATAATTAGTACTGCTTGAAGGTTATTTTATGGTTAGGAATRTCACCTTACATAATGGATTGTAATTTATCAAATGAATTGTTTATCCACTATGCTATTTTCATCTTCCAGACAATCCTATGGAATAATCGTGGTCAGTATTATCACAGCTCCTTGACAGATGAGCAAACTGAGACTCAGAAAAGTTCAATAACAAGCTCAAGGACAAATAATCATTGTAATAAAGGACTCAGCTGCCAGTTTTCTAATTTTTAGTTCATTCTCTTTCCACCACACCAGGATGCACTCGATTAAACATTCAACTGAATGTTTAGTTAAGAATAAATCTGACTCCCAGCTTTTGGCTGGAGGAGATGAAGGTATAACTTTCTTCTATGGTCCAGCATTCAGGTTCAGCCAACATCAGTCATCTTTTCACCTAAGTGCAACCCAAGGAAATCAAAGCTGCACATCTTGTGTGTGCCAAGTAGATATGGAAGTGGATATCGTATCCGAGTAAGCTCCCGAATCAGTCCCCTGGGTCTGCCTTCAGAAAAGCAGATGWTGGCATTGACATTGCCAAGGCAGTCTGTGGCTTCCAATGAAACTGACAGTTCAGACTAGAAAGAGCCAGAATGAGCTAGCACCTCTCTCTTCTGCCCTGATCATCAAAGCTCTTGCCAAATCATCCAGAGATAGAAAGGGACATTTATACATGAAACACATTGAAAATATCTCCTTTTATGACATTGTCAACAACACCTGACAGGGGCAGCTGCTCTTTATCCCAGAGAAGTGTCCAGAATCATTAAAATTATCCTGGGGAGTTCTCAGTGTGTGGGCTACAACATTGATGGCTGCATCCTCATCACATTAAAGATGACCTCAAAAAAAGTATGGTAGATGGTGACAAAGGAAAACATTTCATTAAAGGACCATTTGACAATGAGAAGGGAACAAAAAATAATACAACTGAAATCATCCAAATGTACTCTTTCCGAGTCTGACAATACAAACTCAAAGTTTTCACAATCATATAATTAATATTTACCAACTCTTCTGTTCTTTTAGGAGCGATGATGTATTTTTTTKGGGGGGTGGGGTACTGGGGATTGAACCCAGGACCTTGTGAATGTGAGGCAAGCATGTGAGCTGTATCTCCAGCCCTAATGATGTATCTCTTGACTCTTTATCAAACACTTACAAGAGATCAACAAATCCAAAACACAAGTAAAATCCCTTCCCACCACTGAAATCCAAAATAACTACATGGTATTTTAAGAATGCAATGGAATTATACTAATTCAATCCAGAAAGGACTCATATGCACATCAAAATATTTGCAGATTAACAATATGTTTCTGAGTGGTACCAGTATGTATAAGGTTTTGATTCTTTTTAGCAATAAAAGCTTTTACTTTGTTAATATGCCTTCTGTTCCTGTGACAAAATACCTAAATAAACTCATCAATCAACTTAAAGGAGGAAAGGTTTATTTGGGTTCATGGATTCGATCCATGGTCACTTGAACCCACTGCTTTGGGCCTGTGGCAACACAGTACATTGTGGTAGGAGCATATGATGGAGAAGCCTGCTTAATTTATGTCTGCCAGGAAGCAAATTAAGATAAAAGAGAGACAAGTCTTGGAAGATGTCCAAGAAGATATGGATAGGGAAAATTAAATCTTAATTAAATATCAGAAAGAAATCAAAATGATAGGAAATAAAAATCCTCTATAATAACACTGAATGCAAATGGTCTAAACTCTCCAATCAAAATATATAGATTGGCAGAATGGATTAAAAAGCGGAATCAAATCATGTTGTTTACACGAGATCACCTTACAGAAGAAGACACCCATAGGCTGATGGTGAAAGGATTGAAAAAAGACCCATCGTGCAAATGGAGACCAAGAGCAAAGAAGATTACCTGCTCCAGTATCTGACCAAGTAGACTTCAAGCCAAAATTAATCAGAAGAGACAAAGAAGGTCATTTCAATCTGGCTAAGGGAATCGTCCAACAACCATATATAATGATCATAAATATTTATGCCTCAAAAATAAAAAGAAATTATTATCAACCTTTAAAAATAAATAAACAAATATTTATGCCTTAGACATCAGTGCAATAATGTTGGTGCATCTATGCACATAAAACAAACCCTATTCAATACAAAGAATCAGATAAACCTAAATACTGAGTGATTTCAATATACCTATCTCATCAATAGATAGGTCATTCAGACACAAACTTAGTAGAGACTCTTAGAACTAAAAAAAAATTGCTATGAATCAACTGGGCCTAAGAGACATCTACAGAACATGTACCCACCAACAACTGAATTCAACTTTTTCCCAGATGCCCCCAGAACCTTCTCTAAAATAGATCATATTTTAGGTCACAAAGCAAGTCTTAGAAATTACAGAGAGAGAAGGGGTGGGGGACTTCTTGTATCCTAGAAGATTGCAATGGAATGAAATTAGAAATAAATAACAAGATAAAAACAGAAAACATTTTAAAATGTGGAGATTAAATAATACCCTTTTCAATAAGGTTATAGAAGATTTGAAGAAATAAAAAAAATTCTGAGAAATAAAATAAAACATGCCAAAATCTCTGTGACAAATTGGTGCAATCACTCTGGAAAGCAGTATGGTGCTTCCTCAGAAAACTTGGAATGAAACCACCATTTGACCCAGTTATCCCACTCCTGGGCATATACCCAAAGGATTTAAAATCAGCTTACTACAGTGACACAGCCACATCAATGTTTACATCAGCTCAATTCATAATATCCAAGCTATGGAACCAAACTTTATGTCTTTTTTTTTTTGAGAGAGAGAGAGAATTTTGATTTTTTTTTTTTTTTTTAGTTTTTGGCAGACACAACATCTTTGTTTATATGTGATGCTGAG